TGTGCCTGTGTATAGAAAAATGACAGCATATTAGGATAGTTTTGAGTCAGTCTCCTATGTTGTCTTATCCATGAGCATCTCATTATATGATTATATAGTTGTATCGTTGTTCTTGTTTCTTGTCTTGGTCAGGTAAGTCTCAGGGTTTAGTTAGCGGTTAGGATATGAAGAAAAAGCGGCAGAAATATCCCTTATTATTTTAGGGGATCTCTTCATTAGTAATTTAATATGAAGTGAGCTCATGACAGATCATCATGGCCAGTTTATAAAAGGAGCCGATGAGATAGATATTACTAAATGGCCAATGAGATTAGATATTCTGATTTACTGACAGGGTTTTGCTCCAAGTTGGAAATAAGAACTTTTAACAACAATTCAGGAAATTGAACAATTCTAGAAGTTCATTCATTTTCTCCCTTTATATTTGAGTATATTTACACGCTAACTTACCGTTAACATAGAGATGCAGGGAGCCATAAGGCCAATATTCTAGTTGGCTTGGTGTCTTACATCTTGAACACATTTTTTTGTGATGTGTAGAGATTAGAGATTGAATCTTGAATTTGTGACTAAAGGTATAGATAACTCTAATACATGGTTGATAGTACATCTCTAATATTGTTGATGCATCGTTACAGCTATATGAAAACATCAATGCCAACTTCTTTTTCATGAGTTATTCGTGTTGGCGAGCTGAATTTCTATTTCTGGAGATGCTGTGCTGCTTATGTTATTATCAATGGAAGGACTTCCCTGCTCGCCAAAGAAAGTGAAGCCCAAACCTGTCTGGTTCGAGTTTGATGGGTTTGGCGGGCAGTTGGTGTTTGGTGAGGCTTCAACAGAGACTTCAACAGCATCTATGGTTTGAACGCTATCAGTGCGACTTCTTTCTTTTAAATCACTCTGCCTAAAGGTATGAGAGGTAAGGTCTTTCTTGTCAAAGTTTCTTAACACCTGAAGGATTTTCCTGCGGACTGAAATTCCAGGAACGCACAAGACATCCTTTTGCTTATACAGAAACTCCGCAGCAAAGATGATAAGAGCTATTACTGCGGTAACCCCAGCAATAAGGAAAAGGCCCCAAAAGCTTCCCAAACTCAGACTATTAGAAGAAACTGGGGTACTTGAATCAGGACAATTGGTTTGCTTTGGAAACCATTTATTTTCAATTTCCTTCATTTTATCACTTTCTGTGACATTTAAGATTGCCCTTGACACATCTGCTACAAGAGGAGAACCTTTTGGGAAGACCT